TCCAATCACAGCTGATCACATGTAAACAGGGATATGCCGGTTACCGGCATTTCTCTCCCCACGAGCTGTCACGCTGACAGCTCGTGAGGAGAGGAGAGCCGGTAATCGGCATTCCTCGGAGGGGACATGTACACTGATCATCAGGGCACTGATGATCAGTGTGCCCTGATGATCTGTGTAGCCCCAGCAGTGCCACCTGTCAGTGTCCATCAGTGCCAGCTCTCAGTGCTCATCCATGCCACCTGCCAGTGCCCATCAGTGCCACATTTCAGTGCCACATCAATGCCACATATCAATGCCCATCTGAGCTGCCTTTCAGTGCCACCTATCAGTGCCAGTCAGTGCCACCTATCAGTGCTGCCAATCAGTGCCACCTATCAGTGCCAGTCAGTGCCACCTATCAGTGCCAGTCAGTGCTGCCTAACAGTGCCAGTCAGTGCCACCTAACAGTGCCAGTCAGTGCTGCCTATCAGCGACGGTCAGTGCTGCCTATCAGTGCCATGTATCAGTGCTGCCTTTCAGTGTCCATCAGTGATGCCTGTCAATGCCCATCAGTGCCACCTACCAGTGCCTCCTCATCAGTGCCCATCAGTGCCACCTATCAGTGTCCATCAGTGCAGCCTATCAGTGCCCATCACTGTAGCCTCATTAGCGCACATCAGTAAAAGAGAAAAATCACTTATCTGCAACATTTTTTAACAAAAACTAAGAAAAAACTTTTTTTTTTTCAAAATTTTCAGTGGTTTTTGGTTTGTTTAAGAAAAAAAAACCCAGAGGTGATTAAATACCACCAAAATAAAGCTCTATCTGTCAGAAAAAAATGATAAAAATGTCATATGGGTACAGTGTTGCATGACCGCGCAATTGTCATTCAAAGTGCGACAGTGCTGAAAGCTGGAAATTGGCCTGAGCAGGAAGGAGGTATAAGTGCCCTGTAGGCAAGTGGTTAAAGGTGATTTTACTGGATGTGCAGCCATCGGCTGTTTGTTTGTATATTGGAGTCTGCTGCACCTGGGATTTAGTGTGCGTATGGTAGTGGAAGGGGGAACCAACCTGGAGCTGTGCTTTTTTGTTTGTTTAGTATAAGTGAGTGTACTAGAAATTGCCACTCTTAGCAACTTTTAGCAGAGAAACGGCAAAGTGTTACTAAACCCAGGACCCTGCATTCATTAAATCTGGTCTCCCACAGTACACACAACATGGAAATGCAATTATTTTAGTGAATATAAGCTGCTAAATACCTTTTCTCATTAGCAGATATTGCAGTCTTGTGATTTCTATCAGTGTCCAGCTGAGCACTGGTTAGAGCTCATAGGAGGAGTTTTCATTCTACTTTGACTGTCTTATGAGGTTGCATGACCCCTGACCCTCTGTCTGGACAGTGCTGATGACATGCACCCTCCCAAAGAAAAAAAATACACAATGCAGAGGATTAACCCCTTAGGTTCCACAGTGAGTATAACAAGCATGCATATACAGATTGATTTTACTGTTGCGGGTTTAGTAACACTTTAACCTAATACCTCCAATCTGAGGTGTTTCTAGTCCCCAGTGAGCAAGGAAAACTACCAAAGATTGAACTAGCTCACTTTGGGCCCTCAGAATCTGATGGCAAGCTTTAAATTTGAGATTGAAAAGAGCTCTTTGACTAGGATAGTTAATGTCCCTTGAAATTCAGTGAGGAATCTTCTGCCTGCTTGTTGGGGCCCAAGTGGTGCACAAGTAGGGAGGGATGAAGGTGATAGTCACTCAAAAGATTAATGCAAGGAAATTAAGAAAGAAGAACAAGTACTTTCCCTTTAAGTGGCACTTGACTTGGGAGTTGTCCCTTTTAATGCACTGAGAAGCTTTAGACAAATAAGGTGTCAAACTGGCAATACGGCTTGCTGGCAAAGGGCAACTCCACTCTGGGTTGCAGTAACCAAAAGGAGTGGTGGTAGAAGTTCCTTTAGGAGGTAGGCCAATGATTAAGGGAGCACTAGTGTGATCCGGCCAGCAGAAAGCGTGCAGTGCAGTCAGCTTTATGATTGGACTATGCTGCACCTATACTGACTGTGGGAACTAGGCTGAAACACGTGTTAAGTGAATGCAATGTCCTCAACTGTGTGCAGGAAAAGTAGCAGATATTAGGAGAATGTCAGTGTTCTCTTGTTTAACTCATGTATGGAACTCTTTCACCTAATCGGTGGTTTCCAGCAGGTCCTGGCTGCCTCTCTCTGTCAGTGGATGGGGGGCCCACAGGTTCTCTGGCCTCACTTGCAGCACTCTATCCAGACACCATGCTCCGGATCATCTGCTGGCAGACTGTTTCACTGAACAGGTTGGCAAGGCTAGCAGTCAGTGTCTCCATCTTGCTTCTCCTCCCATTAACTCTGCAGCCTGGTCCTCCAGCAGTCAGCACAACTCCCTATCTGCTTCTGCTCTCCAGTTTTCTCTCCTCTCACTTTCTGCTCCTGTTCTCAGGTTTCCACATTTATTTGACTCTGCCCACATGCCAGCTCTTCTGGGAAAAATGTAGTCCCCAATTAGCAGCCTTCTAACAAAGGCAAGGGGCTATAAAAGAAAAAGTTCAGCGTATAAGATCCATAAAGCCTTTACCAGAGTGTGTGTCACTGAGTTGCAGGACACTGCCATCCTGTGTCTGTTTCAACATACTGCAACTGACATTGCAGCAGGGTGTTACACTTATATTAATGGAAACTAAAAAAATAACAATGGTTGTGGGAACCAACCAAGCAAGTGGTATCAGAGCTCACCTATAATTTCAGGTTGGTGTCATACCCCATATTAATGCCCATGGTTTTGCTCATATATATAGTATTTTATGGTCATGTGTCCACAAAACATTTGGTATGTAGTGTATACAAGAAAATGAGCAGAGGGCTGGAGAGTAGTACACTTTTTCTTTTATAGTCCCTTGTTCTTTCTTGTGTACAACAAGGACTGGATAATTTAGGTTGTTTTAAACATAAAGCTAAACTATGATTTGACTATTGCCACTACCTCCTTGTTGGCATACCTTTTCACAGGCTATCCCCCTTCAATCTATCATGAATGCTGTTGCCAGACTCACCCACCTTACCACCCACCACCTCCTCTGCCAATCCCTTCACAGTCCTCACCCAATGAATAATATTCAAAATTCTAACAAACACATACACAGCCATCAACTCCCCAGCTATATCACCAGCTTCATCTCAAAATATCACCCAAACCAACTTCTTTGCTCCTCCCAAGACCTCTTGCTTTTTAGCTCTCTCAACATCACCTCCCATGCTTACCTCAAGGACTTGATTCCTGACAGCTCATCTCTTCAGGAAAGCCTACCAGTTGTTACCTAAAAACTGAATTTTTATTTTCTTCATCAACCTATTGCCATAGGTGAGGACTTCTTAGGGTGCATCTGCCTTGGAGACCAGTAGAGGGAGACAGTGGAAATAGGCACTAGAGCAGCACTTCCAGGAGCAGAAGCAGACTCTGGGCAGAACAGAAGAGAAAGAAGGCGCTTCTAAGTGCAGTACATCCACATGTTTATTGGTAAAAATGGTTAAAACCACTTACAAAGGGTGATAAGGCTCAGGCATATAGAACATCAATGCAGGGCTCCTGTTACTGTTTCCTGGAGCTCACTGTGTCATCCAGCAGCATTAGGGGGAGCTCAGGTGCAATAGTGGTCTTGATGCAAGGCTTGTCTTTTTGAAGGAGCTATTGCGCATGTTCTGAAATGCATCACCGCCCACCAACGACCTCACTTCCGGGACGTGCGTTCCACGAGGATGGCGTGTGTTCCACGGTGGCCCAGGAAGAGTTGCACCTGAGCGCCCCCTGCTGCTGCTGGATGGCCCAGTGAGCTCCAGGAAACAGTGACGGGAGCCCTGCATTGACGTTCTATATGCCTAAGACTTATCATCCTTTGTAAATGGTTTTAACCATTTTTACCAATAAACATGTGGATGTACTGCACTCAGAAGCGCCTTTTCTCTTCTCTATTGCCATAGGTTCCACCTTTTGTCTTACATGCCCTTCCATTTTAGATTGGTAGCTCCCACATTTTGTATATAACCCTCTTTTCTTGCACTGTATTTTACCTGTACTCTTTCCCTTTTTGTTTTATAAAGCACTGCACAAACTGTTGGCGCTATTTAAAGTCTGAATAACAACAACAATAATAATAATAATAATAATACGGTGTAATAATTACTTAAACACAGATGTAAAAAGGGTTGATGTGGCAAGGAGGTGAGGCATGTAAGAAGTATCTTGGAAGTGCTGTCATAAGTCAGTCCCTTCAAGCTGCTGTGTGAAACATCTAAATTAAAGATGTGAATAAATATAGCAAAATACTCATTATTAGCTTAGAACCCTTTTATAGTACAGGCATACCTCGGTTTTACGAACACCTCGGTTAATGTAATTTTTGGTTTACGAATGAAAATCTATTAAAAATAATGCCTCGCTTTACAAATTTTTTTTACAATACGAATGGATTAATTGGTTTTCAATGCGTTTACAAATTTTTTATTAGTTATGTCCCTGTACAGTACTATGCCTTTAAAGTGCACTTCATAAAGAGTTTTGAACAGATATAACTTTTTTTTTACTTTTTTCTGACCTCCGGAACAGATTAATTAGTTTTCAATGCACTTACACATTTTTTTTAATCATGTCCCTTTATGCCTTTAAAGTTCACTTTATAAAGAGTTTTGAACAGATAAAATACTTTTTTTTTTACTTTTTTCTGACCTCCAGAACGGATTAATTGGTTTTCAATGCATTCCTATGGCAAACTGCATTTTGGTTTGCGTATTTTTTGCAATACGAAAAGTCCCGCAGAATGAATTAAATTCATAAACCGAGGTACGCCTGTGTATTTTGGTGATAACATGAAACCAGTATTTGGTGATGTCATGCACATCGTAATTTGGATGTCAGTTTTAGATAACGAGACATACAATACTGATATTTCAGCATTTCTTTTCTTATACTTTTTTTGCTCCTAGGTTAACTCCCGAGGAAATGGGGGCACCACAAGCAAAATTACTTAAGCAAGAGGTAATAGAATCTATGTACTGAAAGTCTGTTATTGCAAAAATTATTTCTGTGTAGTGTACCCAAAAATAATATTTCAGTGGGTGGATGGCGGTGGGTTAAATCGTTCAATGGCAATTCTTCAGGACAACTTCACTTTGTTAGCTCCATGTCATGTTTTTACTTCTGTAATGCTGGGAGTGAGAGTCCATCAGTTTTCGCATTCTAGCAACAAGGCAGGACATGGGGATTGCTAACTGGCAGTTTTTTTGGCCAGGCCTCCAGAGGAGCCCAAATGCCTAAAGGTATGACAATAAAATTAATGAACGTTTTACAAAGCTGCATAGTTTTTTTTTACTATCTACTGGGACTCATTGACCAATTGCAACTAATTTCTGGTAAAGGTGAACTTTTAGTGAAGTTGTCCGTAAAGATACCCTGTCACCAGACTGCTTATTTTCGACAAGAATCTTCCCATAAGATTATATGTGAAGTCATTACCCCTCTTCTCCACCCTGTCCAATCTGAGAACTCCTTTTATTCACTGAAATAAGTGCAAGGTGTTCTATGAAGGATAGCAGTGTCTCTGTGGTCAGTGTGCAGAGGGGAAGCTGCTCGCCCAAAATGCAAGTAGAACCTAGAAGATCCCAGCTATCACTGTAGTAATGCTGACTACTACAGTGAATTTCAGCTTCCCCATTGGTCCATCAGGTATGAGATATGCATACTTACTTGCCAAGCTGGACCTATGTAGATATGCACTACAGATAATTCCTGGGATTCAGATTTAAGGCACATTAAATGTTAGCATGTCCCAAATGCTATTTAGTATGTGGTAGGTGTACATGTGTAGATACAGCACCAACCACCAAAGTAGTAATACAAATACATGCCAAAAAGTTGGATAATTTATACTGTCCCTTGCTACAACAGATAAATATCAAATCCCACGTAGAGAGTACAAACTAAAGAGTTATACAGATAAGCTCTAGGTGCAGAACAGAGTTGTTGAGTTTTAACGTGGAATTTTTTACATCATAATTGCTTCCATGTTCTTTTCCCACATAATGTAATTTTCAGTGATTTTTCCAGTATATGAAATTAGTGGGCCCAGGACAGAGGTCACTCTTTTATGGCCCTGCTACCTTTGTAAATCAAGATTTATTAGTTATCTTTTAACCCAGCTACACATTGTGAGAATTTTTCTAAAAAATATCACAGCTTTGTCAGTTTTTTTAAATGTTTTTGTTATAGATGGGTGATCTAGGATTTTTTTATAGAGCTGGGATCATGACTAAACACTATACGTATAATACATATTTTGTTATTTAGCTAATTATATTTTTGAGGTATGGGTTTTCCTGACTTCATGCAGCACCGGGGGATGTGATATGAGCTCTTTTAGGGGCTTATAATTCAGGCTATTTTAATGTAAGGCTTCTAGTGGACTTAGGGCAAGTGGCCTCTTTGCTACTTTTATAAAAGGGCCCTGTATTTATCCAATCCAGTCACAGAGCTGACACCATATCAGACTAGCAGGAGGATTCAATAACAATGTCCAGGCTGCCATTATAGATCCTTGTTTGTGAGTACTGGGATTTTCTAATGCCTCTGCAAACATGCACACAATAAAAGGTATACTATACACTAACTAAAGTATAGTTCTAAAGGCTGTTGCTTTACTACTGTTCCTGATCACAACATGCTCAAACCACACTGTGCACATTGATAGCACTGCTTCTAAATGTTATCCATCTGTTAATACCAATGTCAAATTTTAAAACTGTACTGCCTTTATTGCCCTGTAATCCTGATCCTGGAACACTCCTGCTTGTGATGCTGGAATACCCTCTCCTCACATACACAGCCTGATATAAAAAATGCTGAGAAATACTGACAGTAATCAGATTTAAATCTGTTTTGGAAAATTGAATGTGATTGATGATGCAGGAATCAGAGAGAGAGACATTTACAGTATAGTGATGCATATCACCTAACTTGAAAAATATAAATTCCTTATATTGCTTACACTTTCTTTTTCTTTAGGTTGTGGAGGTGTCACTGCAAGGTGAATCAGAGGGGGTAAATACATCAGTGCGACATAGCATGGAAGAAGACAGTGGCAGCATATCAGGGGAGAGCATGGATGGTCATATGCAAGGTGAGGGCTGCTGCTGCTTTACTGCAATAACATATGGTACAGAAATGGTGTTCCGTCTGCTGAAATGTCAGCTCACAAAAGGCAGTGTGTTATGCACTTCCATACAGATTAACCTTGTCAATCCTCCCCTTTACTTGTAACTGTTACCATTTTGACTTATTAGAAAAATGATTGCACCTCAACTCCCCCCCTTAAGCTGCAAAGGTGGCCAGAAAGGGTTGTACATATGCCACGGCCGCAATGTTTTGTGGCAGAATGATGCCCATATCGCATTTGGTGGGCGGTGTCACCACCAAACACAACCCATTCAGGTGAATAGGGCTGTGCCACAACCATGAGCCAAATGCTAGACTCAGGTTGTGGTGTTGTGTTGTGGTACTCCCATTTAAAATACCTGTTCTGCTGCAAAAAAAAACTAATTTAGGAAGCAGCATTGCCTCCTGAATTCCTGACAGTTACTCTTGTACCGATGTCTGATAAGTGATCAACCTCAGATTGTTTTTTAGATGTGAACGAGCCCTTAGGGGTTGTGTTTATAGGTTCTTTTGCTTTAAGGGGGATTTGCAGATCCATACAAGTACATAGTAATGCAAAATCCACTTGAAGCAGCTTAAAGGCAAATAAAATGTACCTATCAATGAAATTTTAATGTAGCACTACCCCCTTAGGAGTTGCTCTAAAACTCTGCACATCCAGGCAACACATATTTTTCTTCCACACTTTTCACACTGGAGACAGTAAACAGTTCTTGAGCGTGATTGTGTTGTTTTATTAAGGGGTTAACAACTTGGATAAGGTCTAGAGGTATATGGGATGCCCACGGAGACTGTAAACTTGAGGACAACTTAGAGCAACTATGTACAAAAATGTGGGCAAAAAAATTCTCTCCTTGAAGAGCATTTAAAGTTCTTAGGTGCACCTCCTCAGACCCCAGATGAATTCTCCTCTTCACCCAGCTCACTGAGGGTATTCCCTGGGCAAGGAGCACAAGAACTGTAGATTAAGAACAGTCCTGGATGAAGACTAGTTGGGTATTGCACCTGACCGCCCTCTTCCCTTATCTGGCCCAGGGGGTGTAGGAGTACTCACTCTGTCTTTCCCTGTTTACTTGGTGGGTTGGTGGCTGCCTTCAGGCCTTATGCTGGGCTGGCTTCACAGGCCATCCTCCCAAGGAGATGATAAGACATATGAGATCCTCCCTTCCAGAAACCTGCCTGCTGGTGGGATCACCTCCCTGGGGCCCCCTTCTAGGCTTCTCACTCCAGCCTTCCTCTCAGTCTATCTTCCACCCGACACTAACTGATTCACTCCCCAGGGTCTGTCATACATAAGGGTTGCCTTGGTCACTATGCCCTGCCAGGGGATTGGCCAAAGTTCCTAAAACATGTAGATCTGGGCCCCCTCCACCCCTCTTCCAGAAAGCTCTCAGGTTCCTGGAGAGGTGTGAGGGCTCCAGAAACCCTAACCTGATAGAACCTCCTAGCCTGACCTGAGGTGAACTCCTGCTTCTCTCACAGGCTGACTCGTCCCAAGCTGCTACTCAGCCTCTGACTAAAAAGAAAAAAAAATCCCCTATCCAGGTAACTTAGAGGGCGTTACTTGAATGATTTCAGAAGCATCTCAGACTAATGTCAAACTAATACTAATAACACAAGCACAAATTCATTGAAACAGGCCCTTAACCTATTTCAACATTTTGTTTCTGTGTGTTAAAAAGAAAATATTATAGTCCATAAACAGTTAGGTGTGTAGCATTTATAGCTGACACCTCTGGCAATGTCCTGCTTCTGTGGCTTTCAGACAACATAGCAGCCATAAGCAGTTGATTCATTACTACGTTTTTGCACACATAGATGTTTATTTATGTGCACTGAGTACCCCTTTAGCCACACTCAGTGGCCTGCTAAAAATATGACAGCCTGCCATCTTTATGTTCCAGGCATGTACCTGTGTACATGTACAATTGAACAGCTCTGGATGCAGACAGGTTGTATCGGGCAGCTTTTCCACCCCCATTTATAAGTAGACAATCAGATCCCAACAGCCACTCCACCCACCAGACTCTCATTGATGTTTTTTAACATGCTGCTGGGCATGGCTGTGGTGCATAACCAAGCGCCTTTTTTTGGATATACAGACCACTGCTTTTGTGTCAATGAAGTCTAAAGTTTACCCCTACTTACCACCTACCTGAGCACATTGCTGTCATGATGGATTTGCCATTGCCACCATATACAGTAGGTGATGCTGCTAATCCCTATCAGAAAAGAAATACACATCATAAAAGCTGATACTTGACTTTATATACAAAATCATGATGAAGTTATATGACACATGATGCAGCACGTTGGATAGAAGCATGGTGATGTCACTTCTGGTGCACCACTAGAAGCCACATTGAGATTTCTCTGTGTTTACAAGCTGTGTATGGACATTACAGCCCTCTATCCTGTGATCCTGGCATATATGGTTGAGCATATCTTCTGAAGGACACCTCCCTGCCATTATCACGAACTATACAGAAAAGGTTGGAGTGGTCATGAATATTCATCTAGTACTGTTTTACCTGTATAATAGTGTGAGTGGGCACACGTGGTGGTGAGTGGGCCACCGTGGCGAAAAGATCTCTTTGAAGAGTCATTTTATAAACCTGGGTACTGAATTGACATATTCATGCTGTATTATATGGACTGAATTTGATTTTTGCACTGTTTACTAATTTTTGCACATTTTCTGCTTTAGATGGGCTTCTTTGTCAGCCGGATGTTTACTAGATATTTTGCTTAAATTTATTGTTTATTAGGGAGTTTATTTGAATTGGTACATTCGTTTTGTATATACTTTGTATACTACTATTTTGAGGTAGGATATTTACTTCTATATGGGTTGAATGGTCAGCCGGGTGTTTGCTGATGATTTTTTCATGATTTAAGTGAATTACACGTTTTGTTCACTCATTTATTAGGTTCAGTATCACTAGTTTTTGCCATTTATCTCCTCATTGAGGATTGAAGGGTGTGATTGAGATTTCACTAGCAGCGCCGCACTACACATTTTTTTCTTTTTTGATACCTGACTTTCTCCCAGCAGAAACAGGTAAAAGGTTTGTATTATGTGATTAGCAGAAAATAAAAATCATCTTTTATTGCTTTAAATGGGCATATTTTTTTAATGAAAATATGCATTGAAAAAGGAAATAAATATGCTTTGTCTTTGTCTTTAGCTGTGACAGTAAGAATACCATCATCCCCAGGAGTTCCTCCTACAGACCTATCAATTGCTCTCCCACACCCATCTCCATGGAGTAGACAGCTACTACAACAGACACTGATGGATGAAGGGTTACGATTGGCCAGGCTGGTGTCACGTGACCGGTTGGGCCGCATTAGCCTGTGTGTGCCTGGGACTCCTCATATCTCAGGTGAGAACCAGTGGTATGTTTGGTACATGGTAAAAATATACTGTAGTGTAAGTGAAGACTTTAAATATGACTCAAAACATACCATATACCAGTTTCTGTGGCTTCTTTTGTTGTCAATGTATATCAGTAGATAAACAAAGATATTTTCCCTCATAGTAGTATATGCCAGAATCCTTTCTAGAATTCTTCAAGAAAAACTTCACCCCCTTGTTTATTTTTTTATTTACTATCTTCTCCATTCTTATCTGCTGGGTTATCCTAAATGAATATACTCACGTACTCAGCGAAGCCAGGTTCCATTCCACACTCTCTCTAACTTACATCATCGGAAGTCACTGTTCCTACCTGGTTCTTGAAGACATACCCTAGGTCCTTCCTCCAGCACTGTATTATGCCTCAGCTGATGCCCCATGTAATATATTTATGGATATAACAGGAGGCTATAGGAACAGGGCTGACGTCATTCTCGCTTGGGCAAGAATAGAGATGGGGGTGGGGGAAGATTATAAAGGAAAAAAAAAGATAAAAAAAACAAACACCCCCAAAAATAAGTTGGCTTTTTCGGATCGTGGAGGAGGGAGAATTAAAATGATATAAAGTAGTATATTTGTGTGAAGGTTGGCTTTAACCTCCCTGGCGGTATTCCCAAGTGTAGCTCGGGGTAAAGTTTCAGTACCACAAGCGGTAACCCCGAGGTACACTTGGGCTTACCATGCGGCGCTGCTCCGGGATCTGTTCTCCTCTTACCTTGTCCTGCGCTCCCGCAATGTCCTTCCTGCAGTGTCCCCGGCAATGTCCTCCGGCAGATGCCGGCATCTGTCATCTGGGTTCTGTCCCCTGCGAGCATCGGGACGTACAGGGGACGGAGCGGCAAGAAATTTGAAAATGACAAAAAGTGACATTCACTAAAATCACATAGTAAAACATTACTGTATCAAACCATTTCATATACATTTTGTCCCGAGTGCTTTGTCCTGTGCCCTGCCTCCATTTTTACTTTTCTTTCTGCCTGGAAAAATGTCCACGGCGTCCAAAAAGCGTCCCTTTAGGTCAAATGCGGTTTTAAATCAGCTAGAGAACAGCGATAGTAAATCAGAACCACTTGCAGAATTGAGTGATAATGATTAGTGGGGAAATTCGTCATCAGACACTGAAAACGATTTTGCGACTTTGCTCAGTGATGTGCAAACTTGGCGCTATATTTCAAATTTCAGTGTTTTTGGTTTGATTATATTACTGAATTAAATGTATTATTATTTTATTATTAATTTTATGATTATTTATTAAATTATAATTTAGGATTTTGTGTTTCAAATTGTAACATACCCGGGATGTTTACTAGACTCTTGTTCGGACAGATATCAGTGAGTTATTCCTAAAAAATTACAGGCCTACAATAAAAAAAAAAACATATTTCCATGCAAAACAATTTGCCGCTTTGAGCACAGAAATATGGACATAATCAGACCACTAGGGAGGTTAAAGATCTAGCATTATATTTATTATTTTACAGCTTTGTCCCCTATGTCTCCTTTGTCTGGGACAAATTACATGTGATACTTCGTCCCATGTTTCTAAGCTCTTTCTAAGCCAAGGTATGTGTAACAACCTGCCCCTCTTCCCTCCTGCTGTGGCCGATCCAACAACAGCTTTGAAGGAAACAGCAGATTCATAGCTGCAGCTTGTCTTGGCTGTGAGCATTTCCTCAAGACAAGCAATGGCAAGAGGAATGCAGAGAAAGGATGGAGTGTCAGCTTCCGCATTCCTCTTGCCATTGCTTGTTTCAGGAAAGTGCTCACAGCCAAGACTATATTATAAATATTCGGTTTTTGGTAGAATGGGTAATAGTTATGACACCCGGTTACCAGGTTTAAATTATTATGCATTCCCCATTTGGGGAGATTATCGTTGACTATCTGTCCCAATTACATAACAGGAAGTAAGGAAATCGACTCAATGGTAGGAAATCTCCAACAGGGGACACAGACAGCAACAAAACAGTTCGTAGCCTTCCCCACTCTACTAACAAGAATTTGAATGTTGCACTCTGTGTCCCCTGTTGGAGATTATTTTTTATAGAGACCAATGCTCTTCACTGCTTAACTGGTTTAAAATTTCAGACAGTAAAGTGGGACCATCTATCCTAGTGGGATCCCTACTGGGTCCTTTACACAGGGTTTATGGGTTTATGTAACCACAGGTTTGCTGCAACTGGGGACCGCATTATAGCATGCAATACCCCAAGTTAAAACTCTATTTCAGGCAGACTGGAAACATCTAAGAATCTCAATAAAACCTCTACCTTACACCATATTCACTTCTAGCACATGTAGAAAAAAACAATGATTCTAAAACTGCTCATATGACTATTTTTGTGAAGGTTCTCATGTATCCAGGTCATGGTACAGCTATTAGTAGTTAGTCACATTTAATTGGACTATATTACTCAGTGTTCTGTTTCTCCCCTCTGCTCTGTTTGGTGGTCCTGTATTTATGGTTGGCCTTGTGGATGTTTTAAAATAAAAACCCTGTCTGGGTAGTTACAAACTTTTCAAAGTACTCCTGCGATGTCTGTATTCTTTATCTTTAAAGCAGAATTAAACTCTTACATTTTCTAAATTCATGGAGCTAAATTCATGTATTGGTATTATAGAGGACAATTTGGGAGAGGACAGCTGGTTCTTGAGAGTTCTGTTTCTCCCCTCTGCTCTGTTTGGTAGTCCTGTATTTATGGTTGGCCTTGTGGATGTTTAAAAAAAAAAAACCCTGTCTGGGTAGGCAGAAACTTTTCAAAGTACTCCTGAGATGTCTGTGTTCTTTATCTTTAAAGCGGAATTAAACTCTTATATTTTCTAAATTCATGGAGCTATAATGTGTTGGTATTATAGAGGGCAATTTGGGAGAGGGCAGTTGGTTCTCAAGAGGCTTTAAAGAAGCAATTTTCATAAAACTAGAACAGCTACTAGACCTCTGACACAATTATACTTTCACATATAATAACATGTTAACATCTTTACCTCTGCTTTTTGATAATTCATACCTTTGTCCATGTAAATCAAAAGATTAACATTAAAGGAGCCTTCCTGACACCAAAAATGGGACTATGCTAGTACAAGCTGTCTTTCGCATAAAATGTCATTTTAACAACTCTACCTCAGCATTTTGAGTTGAAGGATTAACAACTATATAGACTTACTGGCACAAAGAATGGAAGTATGAAACTAGAATAGGATGGCCTCACAGTTTTCACCCCCCCCACCTGTTCTTGAGCAATTAACATCTGTATTGACACATTCCATTGGCAATTGGATTAGGGTGTCTGTGCTACCTTTGTGGATATAAATGCTGGAGTTATCTTTCTGAAATGTATTAGACTAAAGAAGTGGCTACACAACATCTTCCACATGATAAAACAAGTTCAGTTGAACGTGACTAACTAATACTAGCTATCTTTATTTTCATTTTTCTCCAATAAATTCCTATTTATAGAAAAACAGAGATTCTTGGTTTTCATATTGCAATACATTTTTAAGATGGCCAATGGCATCAAAAAGATCCCTTACTAGCCACTTTCAACTGTACCAGAAAATTGTCAAATACTTGCATATATAGCATAATTTAGTGTAGACGTGCATTTCATTTCGATTCATTTTCAGATGAAAAGTTAATTTTTGGAGATTTAGAGGTATACAAATCTCCAAATGGACATACAGTAGTAACGTATGTCAATGAATTCAAAAAGGTTATAACAAAAAATTATCGAATACATTTGTTTCATTCACATGATGTGATAATAGTTCGGGCCCATGGGGAAATCAACTTAATTTTCGAAAATGTGATCATTTGGATTCGGATAACAAACGGATCCAAATTTCATTCCATTTGTTAATTCAGATGCACATGATGCTGGTTGTCAATATTCTCCAATCAGCTCATATCATTTCTCTTGGTGGGTTCCACTAGCATCCAAATTTATCAAATCCTTCCAATTGGAATCCATCTAACTCGATAATATTTCGAATATATAGCAATCTTCTGGAAAAACTGAAAACTTTTTCAAATCCACAAATGAATATATGAAATGAATGCAGAAGATCCAAAATTAATTCCAAAAATGTATCAGGTCAACATAACGAATATGATGAAACAAAATTCTTAAATGAACAAATGCATACCAGATGAAAAGTGCACTTTAGTGGACATATATTTCCAATATAAGGCAAACTGTAAAGCTCCTGTCTAGTGTGATCACAGACCTGTCACAATAAAATAATACTGCACACATCTGCCTGATGCAGAGAATCATAGCTTCCTATCTGCCAAGTTGGCCATGAAGAGAATTTGCCCAAAGTGTTCATCTCTCTTGACTAGTTTCTGTGGGTTCCTGCAATAGGCATGTCATCTATAAAGTAACATATTATAAAAGCTCAAGTGTATTTTTTATGTCTTTTTTATACTGTATGGAAATGTTATAATTTCTATATTGTATTTATTATTTTTCCTATTTCATGCAGAGTGTGAGGATGGTGGTTCAGAAAGTTGTTCAAGTCTGCCGGTTTCTCCACAAATCACAGACCTTCGAACTGGGAGCTGCAAGGAGCAAGAGTAAGACAAAGGCATACCATCCTAAAGTCCGTTCAAGGCTAAGGATTCCCGTTATTCGCTAACCCAAAGGCATTTAGGACATTGAGCCATCACATAATGACGTGTAATCACTATCTATAGTGCAATTACTATTTATAGTGTCCTAGGTATATAACTCATTTTCAGGCTTGGCCATGGGCCTTTCATGCAGAGATCTTGGGAGATATTTGGTTTAAATATACTGTAGTATATATTGTGATGGGCTGGATCATGTTGCATAACATGTTTGGCTTTTAAATGAGATTGCAACTGTAATGTTTTATTCATATACAGTAATAGATGTTAGTAATAACAGTGAAATGCTTCTCATTACTACTGTAGTTACAGACAGTATGACAAGAGACTGCATAGTATGGGAAATAAGGCTACAATGTAAATCTTATTCTGCAAAAGACTTTCTAACCCAGTAGAGGCAGATAGCCGTACACCACATATAAGGACCATGCAATACTGTCTACTGAACAGCTTGTGTCTCACTGCGCTCATACGTCTTCACTTGCTGGTGTCCCAAGAATCAGACAGATGACAAAGAAGCATTCGGATTTTGGTTAGAAGCTATTTTCATTCAATGATCCTGCTGGCAATTAGCACTAATGTGCATACGATGTTCCCACTTAGTGGAAAAATGATGAACCTGATTTGTCTTGATTACAGTTATTGCCATAAAATAATGATGTTTACAATGTTGCTTTAGTTATTAGAATTTAAAGGGTGATTCCATCAGGCAGTGAGAATTTATTTGTAGAAGAACACCAGTGAAGAATGCATTGCGCGATTCTATCGCTCAGGCCGGCCATAGGAGAGAATGCCCCACAAATGCCATGAAATCTCAATTCTCTAGCTGCAATAATGGAGTCATACTCTTTCTGCTACATTTCTTCACCTGTAAAATAAAGCAGAACACTTGGAAAATAGTTACATTATTATTATTATTATTATTATACAGGATGTATATAGCGCCAACAGTTTGCTCAGCGCTAAACGGGAGACAATACAATTCAATACAAGAGGGTTAGGAGGGCCCTGCTCCTTGGAGCTTACAATCTAACATGGAAGTTAGAAACACATATATGCTGGTTTACCTGCAAAATGATTTACAGAGCTGGTCAACCTATTTACACATACTGCATCTGTCACATTGCACAGCCAAGCAGGTGGCACGCTTATTTCCTGCTTCAGCAATGCAGCTTCCTGTGTCACGTCTCCGGCTCCAGCCTGCTCTGTGGACAATGAATCTGAATAACCAGCAAATATTGACCCAAGAAGTTGTAATGCTGAAGTGAGGTATCTTCTGGCTTTAGGGCCACTCATTGTAAAACATATATGTTACCGCAGCACATGATGATAAAAAATAAATGTGGATCCATTTATTTTGGTTGGCATCTCAATGCACCTGCACAATCCACCAAAACGCACTTGTGTTGCAGTGCACCACAACACACAGATGTAAAACATCTGTGTGTTGTGGTGTGCTACATTGAACAAATCCAGTATGTCCAGTTTTAGGGCATTACAAAGCTTAGTGGTTGTAAACCCTTACAGTGAAGCCAGTGAAGTCCCCTACATAAGTTGTACCTGTTTATCTGCAGGATGCTCTATGTCTGTTCAAAGTACAGAATTTATAAAAGTTTGTCTGAGCTTTCAGAAAATAGGGGACAGACTGCTGAAATTACACTCTGCATAGCTTAGTGAGGAGAGCGCTGAGAGCTGAGTGGCTATAAGGCTAGAAAGTCTGAAGGGCCCTCTGCACACTGGTATATACCCTTTCAAGCAGACTCTGCAATAAATAGGGATATTTAGTTCACACATATTGCAATACATGTTTAAGGCCGGCAAACTGCGTCAAAGTAATCCCTCTATGGCCAGTCCTACTCTGCTCTGCCTGCGCAAATGCTACTTTGAACACAATGCCAACATAGGGGAAAAGACAAAGTGGGGGAGAGCTACCTGGTAGCCCTCCCCCACTTTGTATTTTCCCCCATGTTGGCATTGTGGTCACAGTAGCATTGTGTATGTATTACAATATGTGTGAACATATAATATCCCTATTTATTGCAGAGTCTGCTTGAAAGGGTATATAGCAGTGTGCAGAGGGTCCTACAGAATCTCTAGTGTTAATATGTGGTTGCACCCCTTTAGCACCTGATGGATAAATGCATGCACTAGCTGTTGGGATTTGAGCACAGGGATCTCTTGTTTGCTTATTGGATATAAGGGGCACTTACCCCTTCACTCAGCACACAGGAACATAGCTAAAGCTGTCAATCATGGGCTGTGTGCTGGAGGTCCCTCCCCTGTCACCTTTTTTCTCTTGGTGTCAGGAGAACTTGTCCAAAGTGATTCATGCTGATAGAAGAAGAATGAGGCAGCAGACAGAAATGACACTTAGTGCTCTGGATTGACACAAGTACTCACTATAGAGAGATATGCTTTGTTCATATTTCATGTCTGAGGTTTACAACCACTTTAAGCTTTGTATACAATGAAGCAGTGCAGCACTACAAGTCAAACACAACCTGAAGCCAAATTTGTTAATAAAGATATTAAATAAATATTTGAAATAAAAAAGTCCAAAAATTCTTTTGTATGGTGCTTCCTTCCTTCTGCAATCACCACGTGCTTCAAACAAAAGAGTGCAAAATTCCACCACCAGATGTCTGCTCATCTCCAGCAGTGTGACCTCACATAGTATTATGTTTGGTCTAACTGCACTTTTGTTTCCACAATGAACACTGAAGATCAACTTGATGGATTTCAACTGTAGATCACACTTTGTTCAGAATACAACACTTTCTCAGAGGCGTCTAATGTAAGCAGTAATACAATACCTGACTCAAGGGCTTCATACCAGATCCAAGACTTTCTTTTCTTTTTTTTTCTGTAGTTGGCTGTTTGAAGGTCACATGTTGTTGTTACCAGTCCTGTTATGAGCTGTACCTCTTTTGCAGAAAAAAAAGCTTTCTTTTTGTCCTAGACCAGGCCTTATCTTAGCCTCAGTGTGCTGTTGAAAACTCCTCCATTAACCGCAATGAATTTGGTATTCAGGACTGGAGAACCAGTCCTGAATAGCAATTTCAGCACGTGGTGATTGCAGAAGGAAGGAAGCACCATAAACAAGAATTTTTGGACTTTTTTATTTCAAATATTTATTTAATATCTTTAGTAACAAATTTGGATTCAGGTTGTGTTTGGCTTGTAGTGCTGGTTCTTGGTATATATTGATTTAGCCCTATATGGGATAAGGGATATGTGCAAAAGCGGCTACTTAACTGTTTATGCTGCAGTATGTTTCACTATTACTAGGAGTAAGACCGGCCATACATGGGTCGAAATTTGATCAATTTTTCATCCGAACCTAAGAATAATTGGCTGATTTTCTCTCTGTTAGTGGGTCAATGGCACCGGGCGATTTTCGTGGTTCCTCCCCTTTTTGGTGATCGGGCATGTTGGAAAATTCGTGAAAAACTACCAATTTTTGACTCAATTATGGCCAAAACATACGATCGTTTTTCCAAAAAGAATATGTGCATGAGCCGTCACCTGGAAGGAACAGAGGTTTCACATATTATATGTGGTGAACTTTATGACTTGGTCGGCCGATTTTTCAAAATCAATGATGGCACCATCAGATTACCGAGCAAATGACGTTTCCGATTTTTGGCCGAAAAATTGTTCGGAATTCGAACCGTGTATGGCCTGCATAAGTTTGTTGTTGAGAAGGGCGCAAGATTTTATTTATTTTTTAATTGATCACTTTAAGCTTTGGCAGTCCATTCAAAATAAATAGGTTGCTTATCGCCATGCATGTTAACCAATGCATGCCTAATGCATGCTTTACCAAAATCCACTGGTGTGAACCTGCTCTTACAGTGTGACAGAAGTGCATGAGTCAACACAAAAAATGTCCAGGATTTTGCAGGTAAAACAGCTAGCAAGTATATACTAAGGAATACAAACTGAACACCAACGTCAGCTCTTCCTTTATTAGACCACAGGCAGCATGGCAACATACAGAACATCCCCACCGTCCCTCCTTGACGTGTTTCACCTCAATAGACTTAGTTGTCAGGGATTAGCATGTATGTTTTGCAAATGTGCGTTTAGCGGTTTGTCTGGCGTTCCCCTATAACAATTCCTTGGGGTTAAGGAAAGCAGTGCATAACAATGTTGGCAGAGAGTCTGAAAAAAGAGCCTGGGGTGGGGATTCAGTCTACAAGCAACGTTGAAATACCAGTTGTGGGTGGATTGACCCTTTAATATAACTAGTCATCATTGCCAGAAGATATTAGTTCATGTCAGTGCTTCTATCATAGATACAGTATGATATTTAAGTGCACTGAATCATTTCCTGCCCTTTTTTTATTTTCTAATAGATGTATCATTGTTCTTCTTTTTCCACCGCGTTTCATATGAATGACTATTTGAAGAATCAGAAGGGGGTTTTTTTTTCCTTAGCTTTGTATTTTCTCCAAATAGTTGAGCCCTGTAGACCATTTTTAAGTAAGCAATAAAACAGCTCATGTTCTGACTGCAATAATACATTATCGCGGCACCGCGGACACTGCTCTGTGGACCTCTTGGACTCTAGGCTAGCCGACCGGAAACCAGCCTGTACAGACTTTGTAATAGGTTGTGAAAGGAGTAACAAGCTTATACTCTCTGCCTTGGAAATGATATAATAAGCTTTTGCTCTATTTCCACTCAACTAATTGTGTACAAATAGCTCAGTGATTTACGTAGAATTGTGACTATACATTCCAGCAGGAACCTTCCAGCTCAGTCTATATCTTAGTTCATTATTTATTGTCAATACCTATATTATGTTCCTCAGTTGCCTTTATTATTTATTGTTTTGTGTTACTAAGCAGTGACCTATAGACCTACAATCAGTTCCATGATCAATATTCTAGTCTTACATTCACTGTAATACCCTTCTTTGTTATTATATTACTAAATGTATAAATGTGTAAATTCTTGTCTGTAGTTTTGCAGTCTAAAATACCTGTGAAATGTCACCTTGCCTTTTGTAAAATGTCAGAATAACCGATATGATCGTGACTCACTGCATGCCGCAATATTCCTGTGAAAGTCATTTCCAAGTCATAAGCCACTGGATCAGTATGCCTACTATCCTGAATTCTGTGCCTGATCTACATGTTAAAGGATCAGTCCACTCAAAAGGATGGTGTCAGTCACTTGAATCACCCTGCGTTTTCCTTTATCTCCTGGTGACCCAGAATTTTGCACCTGAACTCTCAGGCCCGTCCACTAAATACAGCCCTTAATGAGTGAGTTGTAGAAGGAGAATCCCTGGTAATGGACAGATGGGTGCACCGCCAGAGACCTTATCACATCAGGAAGTTAATGGAGGATTTACCCTTTTTCATAACAAAATGTCAGTTTTCAGTGGACTGTCTTTAAAGTGTAATATTTATGTCACACAATCATAGCAAATGGATAATATTTGCTTATAATTGCTTTTAGTAGATATAGTACAGTATTGTCAATTTGAGTCCATGCTACATGGTGCGTAAAGTAAACCTGCAGTTATGTCATAAACTGCCAGTGCCTGGGGCATTCTATGATCCAAGTATGGATATGCTTCTTGCTGCACCACAGTATTGGTCGGTGAGAGTCCATCACAATCATGGACTAATCATATAGTGATCTAAACAGGGTCCTGACAGGAAGGGACCATGGGAACTAGTCAATACTTAAAGTGTTACTAAACCCACAACAGTAAAATCAGTCTGTATATGCAGTAAAGCATGCTTGTTATACTCACTGTAACTTACAGGGTTAATTCTCTGCATTGTGTAAAAAAGGATGTTTGATCCTGTCTTTTCTGATCCCCCTTGTTCCACTGTTCCTGACTCATCTCCTGATAGGACACAGCCTTGGGGGGCAAGCTGCACATGCTCAATGTGGTGTGTATTGCTAGAGAGTTTTTTTTTCTTGGGAAAGTGCATGTGATCAGCACAGGGCCAATCAGCACTGTCCAGACAGAGGGTTAGGGGTCCTGCACTCTCATAAGACAGTGAGAGGAGAAAGACAACTCCTCCTACAAGCTTTAACCAGTGCTCTGCTGGACACCAATAGAAGTCACAAGACTGCTCTAACTGCTGATGGAAAAGGTATTTGGCAGTTTATATTTACTAAAATAATTGCATTTCCATGTTCTGTGTACTGTGGGAGATCAGATATAGTGAATGGGTTTAGTAACACTTTAAATATGTAGGACATAATGACAAAATAGCAGGAGCAGGGGCGGACTGACAACTCATGGGGCCCCCAGGCAATAGGGGATCATGGGGCCCCTGTGTCCTTGCCCAAACTCAAAAAAGCCTATGAAAAAGGTACCAGGGGCATCTCATGGGGCCCCCTACTGACCCCGGGCCCTCGGGCAGTGCCTGAGTTTCCAAATGGTCAGTCCACCCCTGAGCAGGAGTCTCTTGTTACAATTAGGAACCAGGGGCGGACTGACCATTCGAACACTCAGGCACTGCCCAAGGGCACGGGGTCAGTAGGGGGCCCCATGAGATGCCCCTGGTACCTTTCATTGGCTTTTTCATAGGCTTTTTTTTGGGTGTGGGTGAGGACACAGGGGCCCCATGATCCCCTATTGCCCGGGGGCCCCATGAGTTGTCAGTCTGCCCCTGTTAGGAACTGACAGTTTACTAAGCTCACCTGGACTATAGGCACACTTTAAGCCATACCCCAAGCCATCCAAGCCCTGCCTTTCTTCAGCAAATTAAAGTCAAAAGCATACCCAAGCACCATCCCTTCAGGTGTTCAAGGAAGGCTGTCACGGAAAATCAGAACAGTTTGGAGGTTTGATGACATCAGCATTACAGTGCACAGTCAAGTCCAAATCATCCATTCATAGCTCTCCCTCTATTACCTCTGGGAATATAAAAGATCACATGAAGGAAACATAAAGTGTCCCTAAACCCACATCATAAAAACCTATCAATAAATGCTGTATTACATGCTGTTCATACTTGCTCATTCACTATGGGATTTGTTTTCTGTATTCTGCAAAATCCTGTTTTCTATATCCCACTTTTGTCCATGTCCCCACTGCAGTTGGGGATTTTGCAGAGCAGTGTAGGCAGCTAGTGCACATTCCCAGTTTTCATGGTATTTTCTACCCTGAGCATTTCCTTCCTATCACATCTGAGCAGCCCGTGACTATAGAGTCACACATGGGGGCGTATACACAGTGGTAAATGACAGCTCACTCACTCCCTCCTCCTCCATGTCCAAAGCTTTTTAAACAAAATGGGGGTGGGATATTACATTTTGATTGAAGAAGGCTTTATCTCACTGTTATTCTAAAATACAGGCTGGAGGAGTGTGCTAAAGCCTGTGACTGGCAGAAATCCCCCCTCACCATGTTATTGCTCCAAAAAAATTTGATTTCATATATATATATATATATATATATATACTATATATATATATATGTTTGACAATTTAAAACCGTTTATTGTTATTAATTATTTATTTTTACTCTGTAGCCCCAATTTTTTTTTTTTTAACATGCAACCAGCAGCAGAGGATTAGAAGCTCTTCCTGCAGATGTTTCCCTGCAGACAGACTGGGAAATAGCTGGGTCATGTGACAGCTGTATGTTGATTAGGAAAAAAAAGGTACTTCAGTGTTTTTTTTTTTCATTAATTCACAATTACAGAACCATCATGCACATACAGAAAGAGAAGGGATAATGTAAATTAAGCAGCGTGTGTTTGGTATCATCTCAAATGACTGAACTTCAGAGAAACAGCTATATACACATGTAAATAATTAAATATATGGCAGCTCTCTGTCACAAAAGGGATTTGAATATCCATCCATCCATGGGGTCCTGAGATTTACACAGCCATCCTAAATAGCACAGCTAGCCTGGTGACCTGTCTTTTCTCTGCTCCAGTTAAACTACACAGTTATGTCACCTTCCTGCCTCCAGCTTGAAACTGGACAGTGAATCAGCAACAACTTGATCAAGACATCTCTCTGCTCTCTCCTTCTGTGAGCATGTTCCCGGTCAGCATATTAGCAAAGCAGGACACCCGATTGTCTCCAACTACTGACCTGTCCTCTCCCAGTCTGAGTGCTGCTTTACAGGAGATTGTAAGAGGCTGATTCTAGCATTCATTCTAGTGGCATTTACAGTACAGTAAATGGATTTGGAAATAAATATAAAACTGCATTCCTTGGTGCGTTTTAACATCTGCCTGGAGTTCAGTTTTATATATAGCCTGACCAATGCAATAAAAATGAGCAGTTGTTCATTGCACACCACAGAGAAGTAATGTTCAGGTATAATAAAAGAAATAAAGAGAGGTAAGACAAACAGGGATAAAGATAAACACTGCCTGAGACAATCCTCTCATTTTGCCTTACCACATAGCCATTCCTAACTGCCTCACATTCTTGCTAGGAGAAGCTATACAAAGTTGGACTATTGGGAGTTCATGATATATGCAGAGAGTAATCCCATTGTGACAAGCAGCAATAACGAATTCCTGGAAGTCACGGCTTGGACACTAGTCATCTCACCAACAATTTTCATACTTATCCTCAGTTACACAGACAGCTTGACTTGAAAATATAGCATAAAGATACTTTGCCATATATCCTACAGGGAAACCAATGTGTTGTTGAAATGTATAGTTCTTTATGAGGAATACAAAAGAATATTTCCTGTACTGTTTGTGTTACGAATTATATGCTATTATGGTATGAGTCCATGTGAAAAGTAAATATAACCATATTTGTCCTGTCGTAAGTTGCAAAGTAGAGTTCTGCAATAGTTTGTAATACTTTTTGGATCATTAGTCCATAAAAAATTATCAGCACATACTACACTGTACCATGCGTAGAAAAACATGCAGCATCTAATGGATGACCATATAGCAGACAATATTGATGAATAAAACACTGCACATTCATAACTTTCTATGGTAACTTTAGATACAGTATATATTCAATTTTACTGGGGTAAATTAAATGTTACACTTTTACCTGTCAGTATAATGCTCTTAGTTTGCAAGTGATTAATATGGTTCAGGTTATTGAGACAGACTAAGTGAACAGTTATGTATAGTGCTGTCAAATCTTTGGCCAGAGTTTTTTTTTTTTTTTTAAACAAAACTGTTTGGCTTGTGTTCCTTTACACGTTTTGCATAGTAGCCAAAAGGGATAATGGCCAACTATTTCATTAAAACAACTCTGTCATCAGGATAAGTACTGGAAAATAAGGGTTGCCTGTAACAAAGCAACCAATAACATATCTTTCCTGCCCCCTGGGTCAAAAGTCTTTTGCTCTTTTGAAGAGCTAAGCTTGTTGGATGATCTTCAATATCCAATGCACTTTTGGGTATATTGGATACCTGGTCCCCCTCTGCACTCTGTTTTGATCCACCAGCCCCCTACATAACTACAGTGTTCTATAGTAGCATACATGTTGGTAGATCAAACCACAGAGTGCAGAGGGGGATCAAGCATCCAACATACCCAGCGTGTGTTATGTGCTGAAGATCCACGAGCAGGGGCGGACTGACAACTCATGGGGCCCCCAGGCAATAGGGGATCATGGGGCCCCTGTGTCCTTGCCCAAACTCAAAAAAGCCTATGCAAAAGGTACCAGGGGCATCTCATGGGGCCCCCTACTGACCCCGGGCCCTCGGGCAGTGCCCGAGTTCCCAAATGGGAAGTCCGCCCTTGTCCACGAGTAACCTTAGCTCTTCAAGAGAGCAAAGTTTGATGACTTGGGAGGCAAGCAGGTGAAAATTGGTTGCAGGACACTTAACTCTTTTCTTTGCATGTAGCCCATTTATAACATTTTAAAGAATATGTAAATCTAAGATTTCATATTTCTGATATGTGCCTACCATATCATGTACTTGTATGAAACAGTATCCTATTCTCTTTGTATTGCATCCTTTTTGTGAAATCCCTGATGTTCCTGCTAGCCTCTCTGCTTTCCTATCAAAAACTGCCCACATGAGGCATGACAACTCAGCGTGATCAGTCCTCTAGTTATGCTGGGAACTCAGTGTGCTCTCCTCCAATATTCAGTCTTGTCCTGACACCCCCCACCCTGCACAGCTATTCACTGAGATCATCAGTGCACTGATGTTTCTCCACCCTTAACTCTCTAAGCAGCTGAGAACAGAGGTTATGTGATAACTTATAAAAAAAAAAGGGAAAGAAGTGTATGGTTATTTTATAAGGTGAGGATTTACTATTACTGTAAATTTAGTGACAGAGGAAGACATTTGCCTTATTTTCCTGTATCATGTCCTGTATCAGGTAGGTGTCACTCATGCATTTGCATTGGCATAATTGCAGGACATGATTGGGCCTTCACTGGTATAATTGCAGGACACACAACAGCACAGTAATGAAGAGGTCAGTACTCAGGTCTTGGCAAGAAATGAAAATGACTCATTATTGTGCTCTTTAAAACAACTCTAAAAAGCTTTTCTATCTGTTGCTGTATGGACCAAAACTAAGGACACAAGTTTGCTAGCATATGTATAGTTCTCCGTAGAAATAATATGTGAGCCCAGAAAGCTGGCTATCAGACAGCAGTCTGGTTTCAGCATCTTGCTCAGGACCCAGAAACTGGTGTTTTTAAGCTCCTGAGCTTAGATCAATCTGATGTCAAGTTGTGTTGGTAATGAAATGCAATTATTTCTTGTTATATTGGAGGGCTGGTCAGGTGGAGATCAGCTCTGAAGCAATAAGTCATGGCTAATAGTGAGAGCAGTTGGGTTCCTCTCTGATCTGACCCATGCCTACGAATTATGAACTAACCAATGATAACATGCCATCGACCCAGACTGAATAAAATGTCATCAACCTAGGCTGAGAACTGGGTTCTTGATGTTTGCTTTTCATGTTTGCTTGAGTTAAACCCTATAAAAATAAATATTGCAATACATGCTATATACTAAAAGCCATATCTATTGCAAAAAACCTCTATTTTACATCAAATATAATTGTCACTAAAACAAATAGCAGGGAACATGAAGAGAAACTACTGAAGTTGTTAAGTGTATCTACGGTCAAAATGTAAAATCATATGTTCACTTCCACATTGTATTTCAACTATTTATAGCCTACTTATACTCCTATTCTGATTGATCTTGAAGTTTGTGAAGATCCTTACACATTTACTTCCTTGAATTCTGTTACATATAT